AAATATGTGCTTTTCAGTGTTTTTTTGTCAATATATACAGTATGATCGAAAAAACGGCGTCCAGTTGGCTGGGAAATGACGATTGAGGACATTTCCCATATAAAATGGCAGCGATCTTCATCATAGTACGCGCGGTATATCATTTATATTATTATTTTAATATTTCGCACAACACGTGAAACATGAACGTTTATTATGTATTTTCATAGTCAATAAAATTAAATAGAAATAAAATTCTAGATTCCTATAATTAATCTAATTGCTCTAGAATTATTATGCTACGTTTAAAAAGTGCTTTATTAAAAATTCAGGATATGTGTCCAAGTTTTTTCTTTTTTTTTAATTTTTAAATGCTGTAGCTCCATGTCATGTTCATAATAGGTTTTTTTTAACATTCCATTAAAACTACGGAGGCCTTAAAAGGCCTTTTAGCCTCCGTAATTAAAATTGTAGAATCAGCTTCAGCAACATTAACAGTTACCTTGTTTAATTCTGCTTATACATATATTGCATTAATTTTTCTGCTACCTTAAGATTTCTCTATTCTTACACCAAATTTATGTGATTTTCTTAGCATAATATGATTTATAAACCATATTTTTCCTAATGGAAGGATGGAATAGGATATGCAGAATTAAGATATTTTAACATTTATTTTCCAGACAGAGCATAATATAGTATTAAGATTAAGACATAACAAATATTATAAGGAAGATCTTAATATAAATCACAAACTAATTACAAACTAATCTTAATTTGGTCTTGTATAAACACAGGTATAAAACTAATAAGATCAAAACTCAACCTTCACAATATTGTCAAGATTTGGCATTATAGGAAGCAAGAAATTACAGTAGGTAATATTAAATACTGTAATGTATTCTACGACACAAACCGTCTCCCTTCTAAAGAGAAAAAGATAAAACATAAAGCTTATTTTAGTCTTATCAACACACTCTTCGATAAAATATATGTCTAAAATTGCTATTAATCTACTAACTTGATATTTTTAAGAAATTATGATACAAACATTATAATCAAAGTATATTATATTAGTAACATTATAAGTAAGATGTTACCTCTATCTCCCATTGATGTGTATTGTTCTATAAGACTCGTCATGGTAGTATTTCAAATGATCGAAAAAAAACGGCGTCCAGTTGGCTTGGAAATGACGATCCATGCCATTCCCTGTATAATTTTACATATAAAATGACAGCGATCTTCATTTCATAGCCATCGTTGACGCCGTTTTTATTCGATCATACGGTATTTCAAAACATCAATACATATAATCAAAACTATTGTTGCCTGTAAATAACTAGAAATTAAATAACTTGAAAGAAATAAAATAATTCTAATAAGTTTAAAACGATTAAGAAAAAATCCGTACATGATAATTTTTAATTCTAATGTAAATATATAAATAAATGTTATTATTATTACAATTTTATATATTCATAATACTTTCATTTCACAATCTTTATTATCCTTCTTACCTTAATTATGGATATCAAGATAAATCTGAAATTATAAAATTAATTATAGAATTTGTATTATAATTGATTCCACCAAAAAAAAAAAAATTTTTCAACCGTAAATAATTCGAAAATAAACTGCAATTTGGCAACATCGACCATGTGCGCTTGCGTAGTATCGATGATCAAATGCAGCAAATATGGGCTTCAAGGTCAGCCACCGGATCCACACCTTTACCCTTATTTCTGTTTTAATCACAGGTTTTAATTTTTATCTGTTCTGTGACAGAAGTGTCTAGTCCTAGCAGTCAACTATTAAGCTTGACCAATCAGGTTGGTTAGCGTGGCTAACGTGATTGGTCAGAAGTGTCTAGCCCTAGCATTCAACTATTAAGCTTGACCAATCAGGTTGGTTAGCGTGGTCATGTAGAGTGTGTTAATCAGGGTTCGGAAGTAGTTAATTAAGACGTAATTTACCTGATTAACTACGTGTAGTTTTTCTTCAAAAACTACGTCTTTTCTCGTTCATTAACTACATGAAAACTACGTTAATAAACTATGTATTGATATATATGAATAATTTTCCTTTGTATGAGGTGTAATAGATAATATGGTGTAAATATTATATTTAAAGCCATATTCTGTTTTCTAAATACATTATGTGTTTTAAAGCTTCAACTTATAACCTCACCTCAAACCTTTATTACTTCAAAGTTACATACATAGGTTGGCATAAACTACACCCTTCTTACATAAATTACATTAACTACATGTAATGTGCTTTACGTAGTTTCCTTTTAAAAGTAACATGTAGCCTTCCTCGAACCCCGCTTATTATAACCCTCACCCCAAACCTTGGACATTTGAAAGTTACATACATAGGTTTGTAAACTACATCTCCTTTACATAAATCCACATTAACTACATGTAAATGTAGTTTATGTATGGAAGCAACATGTAGTTTTCTCCGAACCCTGGTGTTAATCATAGATCCTAAAATAAAATATAGACTGAGCATCTCATTCATAACAGCTGGAACATACAACAAGCCTTTTTGAATTAGTGTTTAGAATAATTGAGATAATAATAAATTTTAACTAGATAACAACACGAAAAACAAAACAAAAACAAACAGATGCCTTTCAACAAAAGAGGGGAAGTGACAGCGAGACCTGGAAGATTAACTGCCATCTTACCGTCGACAAAAATTCCCTGATGCGCACTGTCGAGAGCTCATTCTCCCACTTCCATATCTCTTAGTACACCTGAACTCCGTATCATAGCCGGGTAATTTTTATATTTTAATGAAGCTATAATTAAATTAAAAATATATCGTATTTAAACTTTTTTATATTTTATTAAGATTTAGGACAGGTTTTTTAAATAAAAGTTTAGAAAAAACGTCTTAAGAGTCCAAAAAGGATAAAAATAATAAAATACACGTTATAGAAGAAATTTTATAATCGAAATTACGTAATTTTTGAAATTAATAATAAATTATTAATTTTAGTCAAACATTTACAACCCCTAATATTAACCAAAACAGGATCTATTCCACAGATATAATAGAATCGGCGACAGGGAGAGAAAAAAAAATGATTGTTGTAATTTTTTTCTGGTTAAGTGATGTCTTATGTAAATTAGAGAAAACATAAATCTGTTCCATTAAAGCAAGGAAGGTGATAGGAAGTGGATAAAATGAAAACTACATTTATTTAACTCGGTACTGTCTTTATTTACCGGGTGCGTCCCAAAAGTGGCTCAACCCCATAATTTTTTTATATTTTCAAATAAAAAAACAAGATTTAGTATGTTAGTATATGACATAAATTAGGATTGATTGACGCATTCAATTGTTTTTGGTCACTTTCTGTTTCACCGGAAATGACTATAACTTTTAATTTTTAAACGGCACCCTCGGTATATTTCTACTTTATTTGATAGAAAATGACACTCTGAATAGAATGACATATCATATGTCAACTTTTGACACTTTCGCATATGGTTTAATTGTAATTGTAACACGTGGTTCATAACGACAATTTGACTCGAAATACCAAGTGTGTGGTATCAATATATTCATAAAAAAATGCTTTTTCCAAATATGCTAATGAGTCACCCTTGTTCCATTTGAAAAAATTGACATATGTATGATTAAAAATACGATTTGTACATATTTTAACCGACTTAGACAAGACACGAAACCTATTAGACGATCAAAACTATTTTTCCAAGGCTCCTTGATTAAAACTTAGTGTTTTTAACAACACCATGGCACCCTGGATTGAAATTTAAAATACGATTTGTTTTTCAGCGACAATGTCAAAAGTTGACATATGATATGTCATTCTATTCAGAGTGTCATTTTTTATCGAATAAAGTAGCAATATACCGAGGTTGCCTTTAAAAATAAAAAGATGTAATCATTTCGGTGAAACAGGAAGAGACCAAAAACAACTGAATACATCAATAAATCCTAATTTATGTCATATACCTATAACATACAAATCTGTTTTTTTTATCTGAAAAAATAAAAAAGTTATAGGGGGTGAGCCACTTTTGAGACGACCCGGTATATTAAAAAATATTGTTTCATAATGTAATATCAATTTAAAATTCTTGTATGTTATTTTATATGCTCAAGATAATTTTAGAATAAACCATATTTTTAATAAAATCATTATTAATTATTAACAGGGTTATAATTATGACTTTGTTACAATGTAAGTAAGTAAATAATGTAATGAGAAAAAATTCAGATTTTACATTTTACTAAAATATTATCTAAATAAGCGCCTTTCTACAACAACGCCACTGGCTCCCAATGGGCAAATTGAGAGTTGTCTACCGGTCGAAAGTCGTTTCAAGACTTAAATGGATTATTTAAGTCAAATTTCTTGCAAATTTGGCACTGGCGAACCATATTTTATAGTTCTTGAACAGAAAAAGTCAATAAAATAAACACTTAAGGACTACAAACTAAGAAAATGCGTTAATACAGCCGGGGACATAGCGGCATCAAAGCTTTACCGCACACTTGCCACGCGTACTACAAGGTAATAAATGAATGAATAGGCTCCCTCGCCTCTAATCGGTGTTATCATATTGTAAAGAACTTATCCTTTTTAAACAGTATCCGACTTATAATTTAGTAGTATAAGGACTATTTAATACATCTATGGAATATTAAACCTACTTTTATTAAACTGTAGTATTAATATCTCAATATATGTGTATAATAAGTAAAAAAATATTGATAATATTAAAGACGTGACAACATAGGCTGGATGAGGAAGGCTCGGTCGACTGTACCCAGAAGTAAACATGTGTACAAAAAATATTGTTTGTCCGCGTTGAGATGTAAATAGTGTAGTCTATATTTTATTTTAAGTCTATGGTGTTAATTCATTTGTGTTTGTCAAAAACTCTAACGTAATTGGTCGGGCTTAATAGTTGCCTGCTAGGGCTAGACACAAGTGATTGGTCGGGCTTAACAGTTGCCTGCTAGGGCTAGACCTCTGGGCTAGACACAAGTTTCTGTAACTTCCACGTGACCATAGATAAATGCTTTCATTTATCTATGCACGTGACTTCTGTGTTTCTATTTGTATCAATCGTATCAATTTGTTTATCAGTTCTAATTTATTATTATTTTATAGTTTGGTCAGTTTGGTGTGACTGTGAGTTATGTCTTTTTATTTAAGACCACCAAAAGGAATTACTAACATAATCAATTTGGAAACTACTGTACGCCAAAGATTTTTATGTTACCAGAATATTATAAATGAAGATATCACGAATACCATCGTTGATCTTGAATGTTTGGTGGAAGATAGTGTCCTAGATCGATTAGGACACCACCTATTTAGGTTACTAGCTTTAAAAAGCAGACACTTTTACACAGTTTTCATAGAACATGAAGTTCAACTATTAGGACTTCGATTAGCTTCTTACAATCCAGAAGACGCTAAAAATTTTGTTAAATCACTAAAAAGTCAATGTGCAACGTGTTTAGAGGCAATTAAAGTTGACGGAAAAGTGAAAAACTACTTTATTGAACTTAGTTCCGTGTGTTTAAAACTATTGTCCTATTTTCGAACACCTGACAATGTTTCAAAAGCACAAATTCAACGTATGTAGATAGTTTTGAGTAGAACTAAAGATTCTGATATATTTATGTTTTTATTATATTTTTTTAGTTCACTTTTCCTATTGTTTTGATCTTCTTGCAAAAAGACAGTACGACATAGCTAATGGAATGTTGTTGATAAATTGCACAGAATGGAAAGCATTATTACTGTCTTTGTATAAAAGTTATCTACATCTGGCTTTGTTTGATATGAAGTTCATACCTCAAGTGAATGATGCTCTTCAAGATGAAAGAATTAAGAGTGTTTTAATCTTGGCTCGAGATCTGTTCTGTAAAAATAATTCACTTAGAAAATTTGGTAGTTTAGACATGACACGTTTTGAAGAAGAAACTGGAAACTTCCCATTGTGCATGAAGACCTTATATAATAATTTATCAAAAAATAACAGATTAGGTCATAATGCGAGGTAATGATTTGAATTTCTTTTTTTTATTGAATTTCTAAACACATTTGTTTCTTCTCTTAGATTTGATTTTAGTTTGTATCTGAAAGACATCGGGGTCGAAATAACCGATGCCTTTGAGTTTTGGAGGAAATTTTATTCCAAACAACACTCAAGTTGCTCAAGTTGTACTCACAGTTGGGAACAAAACGAGAAAAGATATATTTATGGTATTAGACATCTATATGGATTAGAAGGGTCTAGAAAGTCTTATAATGTAAAGGATTGTTCTCAAATACAGGTATACATTTTGTTATAGAGGGTGTTTCAAAAAACATGTGCCATCTCTTGTGGGGGATTCCTCACATAAAAATAAGATTTATTTTTCATATCAACATAGGTCCAATTCTGCTTAGTAATAATAACTAATAGCAATAATATTTAATAATAAATTAGGTAAAATATATATAGTTTATTATTAATTTAATTTTATTAATTGTGATTAATAAAATTGCGTTTATCTCATCAAGGAGACCGAATTCGACGAAATATCAAAAGATAGCTTTTAATTGTCATTAAACGGTCTATACAATTTTGATATTAAAAGAAAAAAATCAGTGGCGCACATCGAAAAATTATTAAGACTTTAAGACCCTGTAGATACGAAACAAAGCATAATCGGACCTACGTTGATGTGAAAAATAAATCTTATTTTTACGAGACGAATGTGGTGGCACACGTTTTTTGAAACACCCTGTATTTATTATTTTGCAAGTACCTAATTTATTGTATTTGAAGAATACAATTCTTGGTGCAAATGAAGAAGGTGGCTGCCCTTTCCAACATTTTGATGACAATAATTTGAGGTCGCTTTTGAAAAACTCTCTACCTGTGAATAGGAGTGAAAAAATTGAAACAATAATTAATGAAAGAAGAGGAAATCCAAAAAAAGGCTGTGAAAAATTTTTAGATTTTTTGGTAGAAAAAGATGCGGTTAATGATGAACTACATTTTAAAAATCCAGCGGAATATTATTTCTTATTAAAATCAATTAACTCTGAGGTGTAATCCGTACTGATTTTTTACCACTGAAATGTAATATTAAGATGTATACAGGTCAACAAAAAAATAGTGTATCTAACTTTGATGGGTGATTCTACAGAAAAAAATAAAACAAAACTTTCCTATAAACATATGCCTTAAAATGCTTCCCGAAAAATTACAGCGCTCAAAAAGGAAAATTAAAATAATATACAGGATGGTCCGAACTGTTTTCCGGAAACTTCGGCAGCATATTCTGAAGATAAAAATATGTAAAAAAGTTCCTGTAAATTTATATCCTAAAATGCTTAGTTTCGGAGATACAGGGTGTAGAAGTTTCCTTTTTATTTTAATTTTTTCTGAATAATTTCTGAAGTAACTCGTTTCTAATTTCTGAAGTAAAATTGGTTTCTGGGAGTTTTTTGACATGAGAAATTTGATTTCGATGTCAATATGACTCCTACTTGTAGAGGGCGCCACCTACATATTCTCGAACTGCTTTGAAGAGAAATAACTTTTCGTCTGTACCTGTATAAAACTACTGAGTAAAAAATTATACATTCACGACGGTTTTTACGTAAAAAAGGTCTCTTGGTAAAAATCGATACGAGTAATGGTTCTCGAGATATTTGGAATCGAAATTACCTGACTAACAATCAGGTTTCTACGCATTTTAACCAATGAGAAACGTGCTGACTAGTCAGGGATTCTTCTGGGAACAGACCTGTAGACTAAATAGTTATTAGACTGAAATCAAAAATTTGAAAAGTTTTTGTGCCTAAAGTTCTTTATCATCATTTTTTGTTGAATATTTTATGATTAATTTAAAAAAAAAATCCCAAATTTATTATTTCAGTCAAATAACTTTCTAGTCAACATGTTTACTTATTGTCAATAGTGGCGTGTATTGACTATTTCCATTCTATATATCTTGAGAACAATTGCTCGTAGCGATTTTTACCAAGAGACATTTTTTACATAAAAATCACGGAAATGTATATTTTTTCACTCAGTAGTTTTATACAGGTACGGACGAAAAGTTATTACCCTTCAGAACAGTTAAAACAAATGTAGGTGGCGCCCCCTACAAATAGGAGTCATATTGACTTCAAAATCAAATTTCTCACGTTAAAAACCTCCCAGAATTTCATCCAAATATTGACATTACTTCAGAAGTTATTTTAAAAAATCGAAAAAAAATGAAACTTCTCCACCCTGTATCTCGAAAATTAAGCATTTTAGGACATACATTTATAAGAACATTTTACTTATTTTTATCTGCAGAATATGCTGCCTAAGTTTCCGGAATACAGTTCGGACCACCCTGTATATTATTTTTATTTACCCTTTCGAGGGCTATAACTTCTCCAGGGAGCATTTTAGCTAGTGATCGATCGATACCGATACCGATATGAAAATATCGGCCATATCGGCCATCATGCCGATTATCGGTATCGGCCGATATACAAATGTATATCGGCCGATATTTTATTTTATTGATTATTCACGGAAAAGGAATAAAAAAAAATTAAATGAACTTGATTTTTTTAGTAACAACTTTATTAAACATATATGAACACAAACTGAAACGGATTCTTTAAACTAATAAACAGAAAAATAAACTAAAACAAAAAATTTGAAAAAAACAAATTTCCCTTAAATCTGTCTAAAAAAAGCTTTAGTATAAGAATACAAACCGGACGATTTCTTTAAAATAAGACAGAAAGATAAAAAGTAACAAATAAATAAAATACTAAATAAAAACAAGACTCCTTAAAAATTAGTTAACATTAACTAATAAGAATAATCCATTTTTTTTCAATTGCTATGAAGAATTATCAGACTCAGATGTACTTGTTGTATTCAGCTATTTCCAATATTATTCAGCTATTTTCCATTTCCAATAAATACTCTTCTTTGAAGCCATTTCAATTTAGTTTAAACACAACACGCTGTATACCAATGACTAAAGAATCCAAGGACAAATAACACCCCAGAGCAAATTGTGCCGATGTCACCAAACGGTGCCGTGGCACATATTTTTCTTAACCTAGCTGTTTGAAGCAATATTTTATATTTTTTGATAATTGTTTTGACTACGCCTGTGGTGTATCATACTATACAGTATTAAAATGTTAACAAAAGGTACAAAACTAGTATCGACGTATAGCACATATCAAGTACATATAGTACATATAGATGTTAATTGAAATTGAAGAATAATTATCGAATTCAATAAGAAAACGCTAAAAAGTTGGAGTGGCCTGTTTATTTACCTATGAAACGTAACTTCTGGCTCTTTCTTATCGCTGCTGCTTTTACACTTGAAAGCTGAACAACTAATCACCATTGTAATAAACTTTATACAAAGTTTACTACACACAAACTATTAAAAATCGCTAAAATTGTCGCTGGTGACCAAATGTGACTCATTGTTTGCCATCAAAAGAATGGCCTCGAAGGTCACAAATTCGACTGCAGCCCGTATATGGGCGTTACATGTCCTTATATTCTTTAGTCATTGCGGTATACTTGGGTATACCCAACAGGCATTTATCACCCTAACAGGATAAGACAAATTCAATCCCAACAAGCCCAGAGTCTAGTGAACGAAAAATGCTGGGGGAAAATGCTTCTGGGAAATACCGAATAATAAAGAAACTCGGGATGCTCGGAAACGGCCGCTGTGTCGCGAAGACAATTAGAGGATTTACCAAGGTCATTAATTCATTATTACTACTACTGTGGTGCAATGTTGCCAAATGTTCGGAATTAAATCATATGCATATATATATTAGGCGGAAGAACTTGAGCTGAACCTCGCCGCTATAAAATAAGGCAATTAAAAAAAATACGCCGATAGGCCGATATATATCGTATCGGCCTGAAACATATCGGTATCGGCCGATTATCGGCATCGGCCAAAAAAAGCCTATCGGCCGAACACTAATTTTAGCGCATGCGTTTATAAGAACTTTTTGTTATATTTTTATCTGTAGATCACCCTCCGAAGTTAAGATACACTACTACTTTGCTATAAATATCGTAATCCTTAATCATACAGGGTGTTCAAAATTCTACGCCAAACTTTCTGAAATATAAAATAATTTTTCTTTTTTTAGATGAAACACTCTGCATATTATTTTTTTATTAGATGGAGAATTAAAAAAGGTAATGGCGTGGATCCGGTGGCTGACCTTGAAACGAGTTTTTGCTGCATATAGTCACAGACACTACGCATGCGTACATCTTCGATGTTGCTAGATTGCAAGTTATTTTGGAAATATTTTCAGTAGAAATTAGAATTAGAATTAGAATGAGTGGGAGGGGGGTTAATCACTTCGACCTTACAGATCCATTGTGTCCCCCTTTCTTGAATCATAACTCATCATACAGTCCCAGGGCTTTGACAAAAGCCAGTATCTGGGACGGTTTTATAGAGGGTAGTTCTCCATCTCCAATATCAGTCGTACCAAAATTCATGGCATGGCACGAATGGTTGTCGTCTCGGCGCTCTCAGTGATGAGGTGTACTGGTGTTTCACCATCTTCCCCACAGAATCTGCATTCGCCGTTTCTTCTTAGTTTCAATCTACTGAGGTGTTCATTGAGGAGACAGTGTCCTGTTAAAAACCCCGTGACAATCCGAAGATTGTTCTTACTCAGACCCAGGAAGATCTGTGATTTTCTTGATCATAAGCCCTCAGAAACTTCTTCGAGTGTCCTAGACCATTGCAAGATTTCCATTCCAGGTTGCGGATGGAATCTTCCAAGTTCTTGAGTTCCGCCTTGAGTTGGTTACCACTGGAAAGCAGAACGGTTCTGGTCCAGTTAGTGGAGTGTTCGCTCCTTTCCTAGCTAGATTATTTGCTTTTTCATTGCCTTCTATCCCTTGGTGAGCAGGCACCCAGTGTAGGAGGACTTTGTTTTCTTTGCCTAATTTATTCAGCTTCTCTATGCATTCTTTGACCAATTTCAAATCGATTGATACTGAGTTGATCGCCTTTAACGCTGCTTGACTATCAGATAAGATGGCTATTTCTTGTTTCCGATAGTTCCTATCTAAGATAAGTTGTACGCATCTCTCGATAGCGTAGATTTCTGCCTGTAGGATACTAGGGTAAGTGCCCATTGGTTCGGAGTAATTAGCTCTCGGCCCAAACACTCCGATCCCTGTTCCCGTATTGGTTTTGGAAGCATCAGTATACCAAGTTATGGTATGGTCTTTTAACTGCTGGGCAAGCGTTTCGCTCTTCCAATCCTTCTTATTGCTCAATACTACATTGACATGCTTGTCAAAGTAGTTTCAGTAGAAAACAAATATGTGCTTTTCAGTGTTTTTTTTGTCAATATATACCGTATGATCGAAAAAACGGCGTCCAGTTGGCTGGGAAATGGCGATCGATGACATTTCCCATATAAATTGACAGCGATCTTCATTTCATAGCCATCGCTGACAACGTTTTTTTTCTCGGTCATACGGTATTTTCCACAGTAAATTTTCATCAAAGCTACCCAATAATTTTTCTCTCGTATTTTACCGTTGAAAAAGCCATATGAAATAATAACGCGAGTGAGTACCTATCTGCGAAACCGTTAAAAATTTTGAAATACTATAAATACAGAAAATGTTCATTTTTTAAAGTAAAGGTGTGGATCCGGTGGCTGACCTTGAAGTCCATATATAGATATATACCTTCGTTACCATTTGAAAAATAAAACCGCGAATATTTGCGAAACCCTTAACAATTTTGAAATACTTCAAATACAAATAATGTTAATTTTTTAATTTTCAATGTATTAAAAATAATAATATACAGGGTGTTCCATTTAAAAAAAACGAAGAAAAATAATTTTAAATTTTAGGGAGTTTGGCGTAGAATTTTGAACATCCTGTATGATTTAAGACTACGATATCTATAATACAATTTTTGATATTACCTAAGACTGTTTGTATTTGTTGTTATTGTTTTTGTATTTTAAATTTTTTTTATAAAATGGTTAAAAAATATATATTGTTTATTTATTTATTAATATCTCTGAAACTATCAAATCATATTTACCCATAGCTTAGTATTATGTAAAGTGATTTGAAAAGAAGTCAAAAATGTAATAATATTATACGGGGTGTTATATTTATAAAAATCAGCCTGTTAATCAAATGTTATCTGTGCTGATATCT